AGTTTTAAGATTTTTCAGGATGTTTCTGAGGCCTTCCACAACTGATGAATGTGTCTGGCTATGTCTGTCATGCAAATGCAGCCAGTGCCATGTGTTAGCCAGAAGCTTGAGCCAGACACCAGGCAGCAGGATGTTTTTGCTCCTGATTCCTACAAAGATCTGAAGCCTGTTCACCCCAACCTTTTTGCCGTTATTTAGGTTCTCCTGGAATGGTGGCTTTTGCTTTGTGCTGGATGGCTTCTAGTGGTATGGATTCCCTAAACTCTTGCTGCACACAACAAAGATAAACGTAAGTACTTAACAAACGTTTTTAACTCTCATTCTCCCTCTTAGAATAAAGCTGTTTCTTGTGCAATGTCTCTTTGGGTTTTTTTGGTTTCATGCATTTAGTGTAAGATACACACTTGTGGTTGTTTTTAATATCCACGTGGAATCCTTCTCACAGACAGATCCTACATCTTCTGTGTACTGCATGGTTTCTCCAAGTATGTAACAAAAATTTAACAGTGCTTTTTTCAGTTTTGTATTAATTAAGATGTACCTGCCTATTAGGAAGTTTTCACAAGTAGACAAATGCCCCATATTTTTATTCAAAATCTTAGCAGTTCTGTAACCATCCATATTTATAAATGTGCAAGTATTACAAAGATCACTCCAAAATTCTTACGCATTACTCCTTGCAATTTTACTCGCACTATGAAAATGTCTGGTTCAGGTCTAAATAAGGAGTTTTTGTAAAAGAACAGCATAAGCATGAAGTTTCTGACAACTTGCAGCTTAGAGATTTCCTGAGACAAAGACCTTTTTAAAATATTCCTCCAAAGATTTCTGCCACACAGAAACCTGTGGTATCCAGGAAAAATTTTAGTACCCTTTGCATGCTGTGAAGAGGTTCTCTAAAATCTGAAGACGTACAGTTAGCATTTAGAGTTCCACTGCCACATCTAGTCCTGGTTCTTTAAGGTGTGGCTTAGAGACCAGAATAACATGCAGTTTCACATTAATACAATTTTTTGAGATTGCATACGTCTTGTTTATGTAGACAGAAGATGTACTGCCCCTGGAATTACTGAGAAATTATGCAATGGCTTTGAATTTGAAACACAGAGAGTAATATAAAAATTCAAAAGTATAATTCTAAATAATCTTCATGAGTTTGTGTTAGGTTTATACATTTACACTCCTTAGTCAAAGTTGCCACATCACATGGAATTTTAGAACCAAAGCACAACTTTTTTAAAAAAAAAAAGAAAAAGATTTGCTATATTCCTGGAACTTACATCTGTCATCACAGAGTCACAGAGTAGTTTGGGCTGGAGAGGACCATAAGATTATCCAGTTCTAACCCACCTGCTATGTGCAGGAATGCTTTCTGCGGGACCACATTGCTCAATCATAGTGCCATAGTGCCAATCAATGTGCCATTCAGCACAGTCTGTCACGGTCTTCTGACCCACTTCAATTTTGTCATGATTCTATTTTTGTAACATTTCTGTCCTGAATATTTTTTGTAACTTCTAAACTTTCTTCCTTGTACTTTCTACTCCTCTTTCTGTGTCCTATGGCACCTGTTTGCCAGTTAGTATTTTCAATCTAACTACTGCAATGCATAGTTCATTTTCATTTGTATAAAAAATTCCAAGACTATTCAAATTCACTTGTTTAATTCTTGGCCTTCTACTGATTTGCAGATCTTTTAAAGATCCTTGTCACAGCTGCTACTAAAACAAAACAAAACAAAACAAAACAAAACCAAATCACAACTGAGAGAAGATTTGAGAAGCAGAAAAATGCAGACCAAAGACATCAGTCCACCAGATGGTGGCTATGGATGGGTTGTGGTAGTGTCAGCCTTCATAGTGATGGGCCTCACTGCTGCTGTCCTCAAGACTTTTGGTCTCTTCTTTGTTGAAATCCAGGAGCACTTTGATGAGCTTGCAAGCACCATTTCTTGGATCACATCGATAACTATTGCCACCTTTCATTTAGGAGGTAGGTGAAAGTTTCCCTTTAGCATTTTGGTTTTAAATTCTAACTACAAAACAAAGACTTGCAGGGACAATGCTTCTTTCTTCTCTTCAAAAAATTGGCATTTGCTTCCTCTTATAAAAATGTATCCATGCCTCAGACATTAAGTGATAAAGTGAGTACTCTGTGTGTATGCACTGAAATTTGGTTATCTTAGAGAACTCAATGTATCTAGTCTCATAATTCAGTTTTCCTACAGAATTTGTATCAAACTCAGGGATGATAATGCTAAGAACTTCAGAGATTGTTGGATCAAATTCTAAACCAGTTTGTGTGAGTTCACTGATTGTTACAGTGACTGCCATTTTTCCAAGTGCTTTAAGACCTAAGGACGGTGGTCTTGCCTACTAGATAAGCTGTATGCTGCCACAGTGGTGACATCTATTCCCCCATTCCTTCTCCTTTTTTTCTCCACAAAACTTCCCTCTCCTTGTGCCTAATCCCAGTTCAGGCTCTCCTTCCTCCCTTAAAGTAATTCCTTGTTCCCTATCTAACAAAAATCTCATGAGATTAAAAGGAAAAAAAAAAATCAATTCATCTGTAGAGAAGAAAAAGACAAGACCATACAGAGTGTAAGCAGACAATAAGGGAAGAAAGAGAGAACTATAAATCAGCCAAATACTGTGAGCAATTGGATCAGGTTAAATACTCCATTTACCAAAGCAAGAAGTGAAGAAAATAAAATATACTGCATTTGGCTCTTCACTTACTAATCAGAGCCTTTTGTGCCATTGTGATCTGGATCATGCTTTACCATAGTGGTAAAGCTTTCAAACATGTGCAGGCAAGAACTGCACAGAATTTGAGAAATCCTGTCCAGATATTCTCATGTAGAAATGTAATTGCAATAAGTAGGCATCCTTACATAATAAATTTTATTACAATTTTGTTTGTGGAGACACTTCATTGCATAGATACTGTGTGATTATATACATCCTACTCAGTCCACGCCTAGTGCTTACAAAGACTTTGAAGAGCTGATCTTTCTTGGAAAAAATATATTAAGAACAAAACTATCATTCAAATTTAGAGTCAAAAGATAAAGCAAATCATGCACTGCCAAGTTTTTATTAGTTCCATAAGGTGTTACACTTGAAGCTTGATTTGCAGTGTTCTTTCATTCTGACAGAAATAATTATTTGAAAAGTCCTTGCTTTTTCATCCATTTCTATGAAAATCTATTTGGCTTACAAATCAGACTTACCGCTGACCTAATTGTGATACTATTATGTCATTCAGACATAAGAACTTAGAGCAGCAAGAAAAAAAAGGCAGTGTAGGAGGATGAAAGAACTCCAGATCTTATAGTTTCATAAATTATTATTTTTATTTTTGTTTTTTATATACCAGCAAAATTGCAGTAGCCTGAATAGGTCTTAGTCTAGTGTACTTCAAAGAAAATGGTTATGGTTTTCAGCAGAAACAGCTCCTCATTCTTTGAAATCATTTGAAAATAATCCTCTTCCAGTGAGTTGAGCTTGATGATCAAACATTCTAAAACTCTTCCATACAGCAGTTTATGAATTATTGCATCATTCAGTAATTTTCCTTCTGCCTTTGCTTCATGTATAGGGACCAGAAGACTTACTGATGAAGATCACCTGAGCCTCCAGTTCCTTAAGCATCTTTCCTGGCCTTGCTTAGCTCTTCCTAACATGTTCCACTGCGAAACCTTCAATGTCATTTGGCTCAGTATGAAGGATGATCAGTGAATTATTAATTTTTCCCATTTGGATATTTTCAACAGCATCTCTGCATCTTGCATAGGAGGAGACCTTGTTTCTGTCTGAGGATCTGCATCTGCAACAAGCTGTTTGATTTACCAAGAGCAAGGATTTTGCCCATCACATAGGCCTCCTTTTGGTATTAGGTGCCTCTTCCATCTCCTCTCTCTCTGGCACTGTGATTACAAGTTTTCTGAGTATTGCCTTCCAGACTCTGTTCCCTTGTTATCTTCTTCGTTTCCAGTTCTGTGGCTAGCTCCTTTCTTCCTCCTGCTACCCCATATTCAATTTCTGCCTGTTTTTTCTCATTCTCTAAAAAGAAAAAAAAAATAAAATAAAATTGCCCTGTGTGTTGACTCTTCTCCAGCTGCAGATTTTACTTCCATCATTAAGAACTTTCACGGATACCTCTTGTTGTCCTCAGACTACTTTTCCCAGTTTTACTCATTGTATGAGTCTCCAGCTGTATACACATTTTCTTGCTTCATCCCTTCCACTATTTCTGACAGAACATTACTGAATTATCTTAACATCTCTACATGCTTACCAAATCCTTGTAATTTTGATGCAAATGCTGAAATAATGTTTATTTGCATTTCTTCTATCAGACAGCATATGTCCTGCAGCTTCTGTGGCTGTTAATACTTCTCAGCCAGGTTTATTTTACTTGTTTTATTTATCAAAGTCACTACTTCTTAACACAGGTGAAAGTACAATAGCCTGCCCCTACAAGTTACCTCCTTTTCTGAGTGCCATCTATTCTTTGTCTCCCACTTTCTTTCATTTTGTGAACAAAACTCTCATTAAGTGAATTTCTTTATATCTCGGAACTCGTTTCCAAAATACGGGTGGTTTATGTGAAGCAGATTAAGTGTGTCGTCCAGGAAGGCGAACGGAAAGAGAGGTGATTTGTGTTACTTGGGCTCCATCTAGTGGTCATTCTTGCTTCACAAAAGGCATATATCCTGCTGGCAGGAAACACCGCCAAAGGACGGGTGATAGTTGGAATGAATTTGGGAGTTTTGTTATTTAAATTTGTGCTGCCTTTTCTCTATCAGCCCAGATATCGACCTACCCTCCTGTACAGCAGAATACAACAGAAGTAGGCCATCTCTCCCTCATATGTGTGTGACAGACATGCACAGTAAAGATATTACTTCTTCAGATGCTTTACTTGATTGATCTGACATGCCATTCTGCTTTCTAACATGTTTCTCTTGCTCCTGTTTGCTGTTGATTTAGCCCCTGTTGCCAGCTCACTATGTGTAAAATACACCCACCGTGCTGTTGTGATCACTGGAGGACTCCTTGCATTTTCAGGAATGGCCCTGGGATGTCTTGGGCTCAACATGATCTGGATGTATGCAACAACTGGCTTCCTACAAGGTATATCTTTGTGGCTTTACAGGTTTCTTGCACTAGCAACTCAAAGCCCTTACTCAAGGATGCTAATTGCAGGAGTTTTAAAATCTGATTTCTGTTTTGATTTTATAAACATCTAAAACCAGTGTCCATATTTGAAGGTTGTTTCCCTCTTCTCCCACTCTGGATGTAAGAACCTGTGCTAGAAAATTACATGACAAAGTAGAAAACCAATACTAGTAATTTGTATCTGCAAATTATATGCAACCAGAAAATGAAAAGAATACTGTTTTATCAGAGGCTGATAGTTCTGTGAAGGCCTGAGGAATCTAAAGCATACTGAAGTACATGGACCTAGAGTTCCCAGACGCTGTACCTTCTATTACATGATCTTACATGTTGAGCATTTTGAGCATTTTTAACAAAGTAACATTCCCAGTTCTATGCTGGATACTTGAAAATGTGTGGAATTAGAGTTCTTTGGCCTGCTAAATGATTGTAGAGAGCCATTAAAATCAAAGTAAATGAGAGCAGGTTTGAAACCAAGCAGTCTGGCAAGACAGTGAGCAGTACCCATAGCTGGTGTGCTACCAGCTTCCTTCATGTTCTCCCTCACTTTCTGGCACTGAGCACAGCTGAGCTTAACCCAGAGATCTAATCTAGGAACATCTTCAAATTTGTCTGAACAACTGTTGCTATTTTTTTCATGTTAAGAATATAATTGTGTATACATCATTCTCCTCTTTATATTTTCTTTTCTTATCTTACAACCTATTCTTACAGAAGAAGTGCAGCAAATATATACTGTAGCACATAATACAAATGAGCTGATTCTTTCACTAGGCAAGAAAATATTTTTATTTTCCCAGTTACTCTCTTCACAAACATAGGAGCACTGACCATTTTAATTTCCAGCTTAACAGAATACTTCAGCACTATCTAACTGATGGTATTCATATTGGTGTTTTTCAGGACTTGGGATTTCCTTTTCATGGACACCAGCCATCAGCATTGTTAGCCATTATTTTTCCAAGAAAAGAGCTCTGGCCAATGCTATTGCCAGTGCTGGAGAATGCGTGTTTGCATTTACATTTGGGCCATTTTTCCAGTGGCTGATTGGTCAGTATGGATGGAAAGGTGCCCTCTTGATCATAGGTGGCACCCAACTCAACATCTGTGTCTGTGGAATACTGATGCGACCCCTGACAAGCAGCTTCCACCCTGAGGTGAGCCATCCTGAACCAACACCTGGCAGTGGTGCATCTAAGACAGACAAAGAAGGGAAGTCTATCATCACACACAGAACCTTCAACTGGATGCTTCTGAGGAGAGCAGAATTTGTGCTCTATGCCATGTTTGGCATACTAGCTGCAATGAGTTTCTTTGTTCCTCCGTTATTTTTAGTTCCACTAAGCTACAGCCTGGGAATAGACGAATCTTGGACTGCATCTCTCCTATCCATTCTGGCTATGGTGGATTTTGCAGGCAGACTGCTATGTGGCTGGTATGCCAATCTCCACCTTACGAAAACTATTCACTTACTGACAATGACAATCACCTTGATCAGTACTTCCTTGATGCTTCTGCCACTGGCTAACAACTACCTGTCCTTGGCAATATTCACTGGCTTCTATGGATTCTTCTTTGGCACAACAGTTGCTGTTCACATTACAGTGCTAGCAGAAGTTGTGGGCATGTCAGATTTTGACAGTGCTTTAGGGCTTTTCATGCTTATTCGAAGCACTGGAGGATTTCTGGGGCCTCCTCTTGCTGGTAAGTGTATACTCTGCTAAATACAGTTTACTAGAATAATGAGGAATGGTTACCCAAACTGAAATATTTAGAGCTGGAGCCAGATTTCTTTCTCCATTAGCTCAGGAATGCCTGGACAAACAAGTAAATAATGAAAACACATATTTGGGACAAACAACAGATCCATACTTTCATAGAAAAAGCAGCTGAGTTTTTGGAATTTGAGAATAATCATTCTGCATAAATGTTGCTAATTGCTGGGAAGGTTTCCACAGAAGGTCACACTTAATGGCTTGAAACGTTGAGCTATGTGTACCTGAAGGAAATATTCACAAAGATGCTGCTGTTTTCAGACAGCATTTCAGCTGAACAGTGTAATAGTGTATGGGGAATCAGTATAAAAAAGCAGTGGGAAGAGAAAGCAGACAGTGAGATTGCATATGGTTTTTATTTGTTAGCAGCAATATACTGTTTCTCTTGGAAAATGCAAGAGAAAATAGCTGCTGGCTGTAGGAAATTTACTAGGTGGTATGGTAGAAAAATGACTGACGTAACATGTGAATCTGAGTCTTCATCCAAAGTGCACTGAATAAAATCAGAGACTTCACAGACTACTGTGATTTCTGTGGCAATGACAGCGTGTAATAGGATACAAGTGGGTCAAACTGAATACTGTAATATTTTAATTCAACTCTAAAGCACAAGGGCTAGGAAGTTTTGTAGAGGATTTGAAAGAGAGTGGTATCAGATCTAGTCAGGGAAGATCTGAATAAAGTACCACAGTAACGAGACTTGCAGAAATAATGTCTGCTCATTAGCACTGATTATTTGGATATCAGTGTGATGCTTTGTGTATGTGTAGCAAGCTGAAAAGAAAGTGCAGAAGAGGAGAGAAACCTTGGTGCTTACCTAGCTCTTCTCTCTTACTTTCAGAGTAATACCTAAAAGATTTTATTTCAAAGATGTTTTGCCTAGTAGGACTGATGGTAGATTGGAGTGAGGGCTGGAGAATAGGCAGTATATGCAATGGTCCTGCTACTGGATAGAGGCTGAACAAAGAAGAAGCCTTTGCCGGCCCCAGGTGAACCTGCAGCTGTGAGCACTGAGCAGCCAGTGCTACCACGTGCACTGCTACAGCACCACTACTGTACTTCTGTTTCTTCAGTAGAGCGCACGATGTCTCAGGTGTGTTGTGTGCATAAAAGCTGTGTAAAAACGGAGGTCTTTTCTTTTGTTAACGTCGACGATTTTTGGAAAAACGATGAATGGGGAAGCCATTAACGCCGTAGGTGACTCACCAGAGTCTGTCGCCACCAGGGGGCCTCTTCTTTCCTTTTTTAAACTCCCATGCTCTACAGTTGTTGTCCAACTTACAGTAACTGTTAAATGTGAAGATCCTAAGATACAAAGCCACATGATTAATTTATTTTTCTGCCATTGTTTTTATCGCCCGATAAATTTTGAGTTGGAAAGTATTTCAAACTAAGTAGCACTTTGTTTCACAATCTGTGTCTGCAAGGTAGAACAGAGGATTTTCTGTGAAATTTTCAAGCGCAATAATGTGGCGACGCTTTATGCTTTCATAGTGCAGAAGGCTGCAAGAAAGGTATGTAGTCAGGGTGCTCCCTTTATGAGAGGACGTGTTCACACTGATGAGCTAATTCACATTGGCCTGTTTTCTGTCAGCCACGTTACTGTCTCTTTTTTTTCCTATCCAGGTCTGATTGTGGACATGGCTGGAGACTACAGAGCAGGCTTCTACATGGCAGGAGCCACTCTCATCCTAGCAGCTGTATTTTTAGTTGTTTTAGATCAATTTCAACAAAGAAGTGAAAAAGGAAACCATACTAGTACTAAATCGGAAAAATTATCATTACCTTACACTTCCTTCCATTTTCTGAAACTTCAGAAAAGAAGGTACCAAGACCATGATGTAGTGGTGTGATTACACTGGATATCATGCAACTTCCTGAAAATCAATATTAGGATATTAGGATTCTTTTTAATAGTGGGTGTTTTGAGTAGGACTGCGTAAAACAGAGGAAGAAAGTCGCTAGTTCACAAGCAAATAACACCTATAACCACTGCCACAATGTTATTTTGATGTTGCAGCTGCGTTTTGACTTTACAAGTCTTCAACGCAGCCCCACAAGGCTGTGATAGAGAGGCTATGATCTAAACAAAATTACCACGAAGCTTTTTGCAGCAGGCAGAAACCTTCCCCTCGAAATACAGGCCACAGCATTCACTTTCAAATAGAAAAAGACACCAGCTCACAGATGTTTAGCCTGGAGAAGCAGTATTCAGAGTGATCATTGAACAGACTGGATATAAAACCAGGAGTACATGAATTTAGCTTTGAGATAATAGCTTACACTTATTCTACAGAGCAGGCCTGGAATCTAAACAAACATCGTAAATGGAGAAAATCACATCAATTATGTAATTCAGCAAAGAGAAATGTAGTCCTAAGTATCTGAAGCAGTAAGAAAAGTGCACTTACATAAAATGGAGAAGGACTGACAATTAATTAACAGTAGAACACCTGAAATTATGGTGGACTTCAAACAAAACAAGACTCTCAAATATAACAGTATATTAAAACTAATAAATATTTCTTTGTGCAATAGTATGATAACTGAGAGAACAATGCTTGCAAGGCTTTAACTAGAAGGGGTGCATAAAATGCAGAGGTTGAAGTGTAACAAGAATGATAAGTATTAAAAATAAAGTGCCAGAAGAAAAAGTCTGTCCAATTTAAAAAACAAAATCTTATACTGAAAATTAAAACAGTCTTCAAATCTGTAATAGGTTGAGATATGGTAGGCACAATTATTTCATTTTCTTGTATAGACAATTAGAAATTGATATAAGGGGAGGTTTAGGTTAGATATTAGGAGGAAGTTTTTCACACAGAGGGTGGTGACGCACTGGAACAGGTTGCTCAAGGAGGCTGTGGATGCCCCATCCCTGCAGGCATTCAAGGCCTGGCTGGATGTGGCTCTGGGCAGCCTGGTCTGCTGGTTGGCAACCCTGCACAGAGCAGGGGGTTGAAACAACATGATCATGGTGGTTCTTTTCAACCCAGGCCATTCTATGATTCTATGATATGATTCTATAACTCACAGCAAGGCAGAGATATCTCATGGGAAAAAGACTTTCTAATTTTAGACACTAACCATAGAAATAGACCATAGGAAGCTACAGAAACAGGGAGATATCAGAGAATAGATGAGACTTGAGAATTTAAATATACTGAATTGTTCAGTAGTATCTTTCAGTTATCCTAATGCTCTTGAAGAAAGAAAACACTTGATTTGTTAGATTAAGAAGAATCTATACCCAAATCACATTTTCTGTAGTTTTATTTTACCTGGGAAAGAGAAGAAAAGAGAGTTAGGACTGGATCACATTAAGAAGAAAACAAAAACAAACAAACAAAAAAAAAAAAACAGTAAGAGAGGAAAAAATATAGGTCTTAGAAACTTCCAAGCTACTCTGCATTTATAGCTGCCTCATTTATGAACTTTAGAATATTTTTCCAGTCAAACATTTTATCTGTGTAGCTGAGTTTAACATCAGTTGCTCATCTGAAGTATTTATTTCCCGTCCCATGAAAATTAACTCAAAATTTTAATTTAATTTACAGGAAATTAACTCAGCTATTCATATACCAACTATCTGCAAGGGCTTGATTACAGAGCACACAGTGGCAGGGGCACAATCTGCAGTGTAAGGTCTGTAGCAAGGATTAGGGATTTCCAGAAAAATAACATGTCAATTATGTCAATTGTGCCAATTTAAAACTTACATTTCTATTGAAAGAGTTTTTTTTCTTTTGTTACTTCAGCATCCTGATATTCAAAAGAACCCTTCATTTTTATTTTTGTTTCTTGTCATTTGAAACACGGGGGAACTGTGGGAGAGGAAAAATAATGGGGAGACACTTAATATAGGACATTACCTTTCTATTGCAATTCAGTATTCTCTATTAAACTCATGTATTTTAATTACAGTCCCTGTCACTGATTTCCATGTTTGGGTGCATCCTGAGATCTGCCAGTGGCAGTGCAGAAGACTGGTAGCTTCCTGGGCTCTGGGTGCAGCGCCCATCAGATGAAGATGCACCGCTCAGCATTGGTTGCATCCATTTTGGAGGCACCCGGTACTGTGAAGAAATGGACAAGCATGACTGAGTTCAGCCTGGGGCTACAGGGGGGCTGTGGGATACTTCAGGGGTGGAGTGGGGTGGCTCTGGGGACCCAGCAGGAATCCCAGCACCAGCAACAGGGGACAGAGGAGACACAGCTGGGTTCTGCACTGGGTACATGGTGGGAGGGTGAGAAGAACGGAAAAAAACAAGTGAAATGCTCAAGCTGGAGGTGAGAAGAAGATTCTTCCCACCAGGATGGCTGGGCCATGGAGCCAGGGCCCAGGCAGTTTGGGCTGGTTTTGGCCTGAGGACCCCAGTGCTCCAGTGTGAGGCCCTGAGCAGCCCAGCCTGACCATGAAGAGTCATGCTCCAGGCAGGGCAGGACTGGAGACCTTCGTGTGGGCTCAGCAGGAGCAGCAGGGCTCTGTGATACTGTGAAGGGAAAAATGAAGTCATCCTGGAATGATGGAATCGCATTTATCAACAGAATAAAAAAAGAAGTCATTAGTTTTAGAAGGTCAGGAATGTTATTTTCAGTTAGACTAGAGCATTCATTTCATACCTATCATAGAGATTTATCAGAGTGTCCTAGGTTTCCACGGGCTGCTGGCTAAAAGAAATGGCCAGGCTGGTATGGGGCTTACATCATCTTCTCCTGAAATATAGTATTTAAAAAGGTAATACTTGTAGAATTCACATATAAATTCCTTTGACTTTGCACTCACAGAGTTAGCAATGCCACTTCAGAGAAACAAGGTTTAGTAAAAGAACTGAGATCAGAACCAGGACATGGTGTTTCACCTTCCCACCCACCCAGTTTCTCAATAGCAGCACTGTGTATTTAGATAACAGATGGCACCACTGATCTATGACAAAGTTTTCTCCCACATCCCTTTGTTATACTATTAACAAGAAATTCTTTCAGAACACAAACTATTCCATCAATTGACATTTTCTCCTCTGCACTGCTTGAGGCAAGGAAGGGACAGAGATGCACTGGTTTTGGTATCACATGGATTTTCTGTATGTATCAGCTTCAACTCTGAAAGAACAAACAGTAGTCTTCAGTGAGCATCCCCTCACAGAACTTAAACCTTTTTTTCAGGAAAACACATGGCTCAGTAAGGTATTCTGTGACATTTTCAACGCATTACACAAGAGCTGGCATGCTTCTTCAGGAATTTACTGGACTGTGATAGTGTATGCTTACTGTTTTACACTCATGACTATCTACAGCAAGTTTCCCTATATCTCATTCACCTTTGAATCTCCCACTAGATTCATCTGGGATTATGTAAAAGAAACACTGAATAATTTACCTAAATAGGAAGATTTATGCTTTTCACAGTTGTTTCTCTTCTTCCCTTGACTTTCTTTACTCTAGAAAAAAGATCATTTCAGATTTTGGTCTTAAGTTGTCAAGTAAAAAATCAGAGTAACAGAATGGCTGAGGGTAGCAGGGACATCTGGGTCCATCTGGTCCAAACCCTGCTCAAGCAGGGACGCCCAGAGCAGGGTGCCCAGCGCCATTCCTGGGCAGCATTTGAAGATCTCCCAGGAGGAGAGCCACAGCCCCCTGGCAGCCTGTGCCATCTGCAGCACCTGCACAACACAGAAGCACTGCCTGGCATTCAGAGCGAGGCTCCTGCATTCCAGCTGGTGCCCACAGCCTCTTGCCCTGGCACTGGGCACCACTGGGGAGCGCTGCCCAAACAAAGATTGCGTCGAGGCAAGGTAAGATTTTTAACACTGCTGGAAAAAAGCTGTGTAATTTGTGAACAGATGAAACGGTCCAGCTCTTCCCAGCCCTGAACTCACTAGAAATATTGATGTTAAGACTTTTCAACCAATTTCCTGAAGAAATAGTCGTTGACCTCTCACACTATCACTTCTTTTCTGCTCATTTCTGAAAACAGCCATTTCTCAACCAAGTCTGGAGCCAGTGTCGCAGCCTCAAAGGTAACCAGAGTATTCCAAACTAAAACAGAAACTTTGCAGGATAGAGAGGCCCAAATGATTCACTGAGAGAAATGTCAAACAGAACATGGTCCTTCATGATCCTTGTATCTTTTTTGCCTTTGTCAGTAACTAACACTTCCGACCCACCACAGAACCCAGAGTTCCGGATTCATTACCGGCTGCTGTTTCTTGCCTGATGTTCTGAATGCAGTTATTACAGCTTGTGTGTGTGTGAGCACGACGACAATTCACACAAATCCACTGGGAACCGGGCTCCATTAGCACACAGAACAGTCTGTTGCAGCATTTCCTAGCCAGTACAGAATCAAACTACTTGCTATAAACTAAGAGGCTTCCACCATGGTGTACCAGCGTCATCTTTAAGTTTTGCTCCAACAGTCTTGGCCTCTACACAGTGTTACAATGACATAAAATGTGGATAAGCAAAGCTTTAGTTAAATGAGTCCCTTAACTCTGTCAGACAGGAGCCACAGAACAACCAGCCCCAAATCAAAACATGCTTTTATTGAGTATCAGGCTGCCCACTTGAGGAGTTCATGCAGGCAGAGTGGTGCTGAGCCCCTTCTAGCAAGGTAGGTAATCTCATGAAGAAATAACTGATTTCTGAGGTGCTTATTAGGAGGGAAAGATGCAGGCTGTGAGAAGAAAGTTGTCTCCTGGCCCCTTTCATGCTAATTAATGCATTCAGAAGCTGTACTAAAAGGAATTTAAACTCGTGATAGTCATAAGAGAACAGATCAAAGAAGGAAAAAAACAGAGTAAGTCAAGGAAAGGAAAGCTGTACATGCCTTTAGTTAACAGAGTACAGGTCCGAAGAAGGTAAGGCTTGCATTTTTTATTCTACCTAAACCCAAACTATTCTATGTTGCTTAAAAATTATGCTTTAGTGGAGACTTAACAGACTCTTAGTGAAAGTCTGAAAATGCTTTGATTCCTTGGATAGAAGTTTCTTTGGCAAATTCACTGCTTTTTACACTCACTTTACCCCAGTATGAGATAGTAGATGAATTGGATGCTATCAAGTAGAATCTGTTGATCTGCTTACATGACAGAGACATGATTACTTGTGGATTCTTCCTCTGTAATGTTCGGACTATTGTTAGTTGGATGATTGTTCTCTTAAAACTGAGAAGTAGGATTATAAATTCTCTGTGCTTGTTGGCCAACATACAGTAGTAATCATCTGAAAACCAACAGGTCTGTGACAGTTTGTGCTGACTGACTCTTAGAACTCTTACAGGGTGTAAGAGAACTACAGAAACATGTATATGTGCATAATATTATTTTTCTTGATTTCAAATATTTTTCCTTGTCCAGGCAAATTGTCTTTATTTTTTTTTTTTCTGTATTCCTTTGAGATTTTGCTTCATAAATGATCATAAATGATTGTCTTAAATCACAGCCTGCTGCACTCAGGTGGAACTGCTCATAGTTTTGAGTTTCGCGTTTCTGAGTTTTTAAATTGGAACAGTCTGCTTAATTCTGAGAATAGCATATTGTTCTACCTCTCTAAAATGCCCCCACTGAAACAAAAATTTGATAGTACTTATCAACATATACAGATATTTCTAATGTGCTCTAATATGTGGTTTTGAACAGAGGTAGGATCTCAAAATGCCCAGAGGAAGCCACCGTGAAGATGGAAACTTCTTTAGAGGAAAAGGACGGACCTATTTCACAGCAGAAGAGTAAGCATAAAGCAAAACCTATTTTAGCATGTGTGTGGAAAGAAAACTCATACTGAAAAGAAATTTCCAGGATAGTACATAAATACAAATCAGGGCTGTACAAAGAAAAAATGTATTTTGGTCATTTCGTGGTTCTTTGAAATGTTTGTCATGGAATTATCCAAAAGAGCAGTCGATGGTTAAGAATAATCAGAACTGCAGAATTCAAGAATCTAGAGCTTGGTCCGATGCTCACAATTCATATTAACCTTTATGATAACGTTACCAGGGTTGTTGAGGCTCATTGGGAATTACACATTGGAGGTTGTAACAGTGCGATCTTTCGGTAAGATTTATGTCCCTTTAGAACCTCAAGCTCTAAGGAATACCCTAAAGAATAATATCAGTGGAAACCCCAGGTAAATCTCCTAAAAGCAGATGGAGACAACAGTGCACACGATGTGACTCTCACTAAATCATTTCTGAGTGAAACTCCATTAAGAACCACATATTCAGAGTCCTCAGGTCATAAGAAAGAATGCTCCACGGAACACCGACTCATAGAAAAAGAGAGCAGGTAAATGTTAAAGGTCTCTGATGCGTGACGTTCCCCACTCCTCGGTCCCAGTGGAAAACCCGAGGGTTTACTTTGGAGAAGCTGGGTACCCGACACATGGCTGCGTGCTGGGATAGATTTATCCTCACTCATATCATCTTTTGTTCTTTTTTTCCTGCCAACTTATCCCTCTGGGCTTTCCCAGACTTTTCTGCTCCTCAATGTTCAAAGATCACAGAAATGAGGAGTGAGTGCTCAGTGCCTTAACAGAAAGCACGTTAGCACAGGAAGTTTTTTGAGACTAAGAATCTACAGTAACTTTGTCATTTTGCTTCTTTAATATCCTAAACTGTGGGAAAGATGTCCTACAGCACAGTGTGCAGAACCTATATTCCCCAAAATGACCCAGTGACAGCAACACTGTACCTGCTGTGCCATAGAACAAGAACTAAATAAATACAGAGCTGTTTATTAAAAAAAAAAAAAAATACTGAAGTTTCTTACTAGGTTTTTGAAACCGTGCTGTGTTTTACAAATAATTTAAAAAATTATGTCGCCAGAATTTATTGCAGGATGATGCAAGTTGGGATACATCTCTCAATTCTTACTGCCTGGAAAAACTTAACAAACATGAGACACTTCAGCAGGCTCGGCACCTATTTTACTTCTTGTTCCCTTCCAAAATCATAATTCATAATTCATAATTCATAATTCAGCAGTTTGCTGAATTTACACATAAGGATATTTTAGAAGCATGGGTTGTTGGTAGATTATTATCTTCAAAGATAAGAATATTTCTCATTTTTAGAATATTTTAGATCTGGGCAGAGAATTTATCTAGCAGCTTAATCTACAGAGACTGGATTAAGCTACCAATGCTTTATTATCTGAGGTATCTCCTGCTTCATCCCTCCCTCTGGCAAAGGAACAGAGATGTAAGTTCCTGATCTAACCATTCTTGCTCCCAAAAGAATGCACTCAGTTCTACTGTTACTTATTTTTTCTTATCTTTTTTTCTTTCACAGAGCCCTTGGAATTGGGATCTTCATTTTGGTGCTGGCTATGTTGCTTATCTTTGGATGCTGGTTTTACAAAAGGCGCAGTGGCTATAAAAGACTACGGGTAAGCATGACAACTCACTTTCACATGTTATTCTGACAACATACCATCATTATTTGCATTACATTAATGCTGACAACACTACAGCTACCATTAGATGTCCTTGTTTCAGACATATTAACAGGTGAAAACACGGAATATGAAATGCAGTGAAACTTGCAAGCAGATCAGAGAAAACATAAGCATAAGGAAGTGGAGAGAATTGCTCAATTTTTCACAACATGACGACAGAAAAATCTAGTCTCTAGAAAGCATATTTAAATCTACACATATCCTGTCAATTTTTCATTTGAATAAAACAACATTTTAGCTGCTCAAAAGATTTACATCTAAGAACAGATGCAATTGGAGTAAGCCTAGGAAGCAAAAAAAAAAACAAACAACAGCTGTTACAATTAATTTAGTAAATGTGACACTTGTGCTAGTGAATACTTTGACCAAGAATACTTTCTTATAAAAGTTAAAAATTATTTGCAAAAAAAAGCAAGACAGATTTTGAGATTTACTTTCTAAAAATTACTGCTTAAAAATGCTATTTCTTGCCTTCTTCAGAAATGTTTGAAAAATCAAATTAGGTCTGTCCCACAACACTGTGGTGTTGGAACATTCAAATCTTCATCTTTGGCACTGAAGAGCATTCTTGCTGTGAAATGGAGGCAGTTTTTAACCATGCAAAGTGAAGGCTTTTTGGAAACCCGGTTTCCCAATATTAGTTTTTCTAACCTTTCCAAAAAGATGTGACTGTTTCAAATTAAAAGCCGTAACTCACCAGCAAATCCCTTTCCTCGCTGTTCTGATAACTGCCCTGCTGCCTTCCCACTGACAGATCCAATACATGCACACCATCACATCTTTAATGCTTTCTTTGTGCACAGCACAACTTCCTTTCCAATTCCATCTAACAGCTGACGTTTTGTGGCTTTGAAAACCTCATAATTTGTTAGGCCTTTTGGAAGGAGGAGAACTAGTACAGGGTGTACAAAAAGAAGTGGGAAATGGTAAAGAAAGGAGTTTGAGATTAAGAAAAGGAATGGGAAAAAGAAAAGGAGGTGACCTTCTTATAGCAAAGAAGGTGTCCAAGAAGTAACTGCGGGCCAAAAAAAATAAATGCAATCCTCATTTTTGCTGACAACGCAATGCATGATACAGGAGGGAGAGCATGTTTCAGGAGAGACAGCAAAAAGCAATGGGTAGATTGCTCTTCTTAGTTATTGCTGTTGTGTCCAGTCCTAATCCCGCATCCTAACAAATGCTGCATAAATACGAAGTCATACTTATATGTAGTGCACCCCAGATTCATGTTCAGTTTTACTTTGACTTCTTATTTTTTTATGATCTCTCACAGAGCAAAGGCATCAGTATGGGCACCATACGAACTGTGGTAGGTGAGGGAGCAACACCAGACTGCAAAACGGCTCTGCAAGAGTATAGGAACTTTAGTTCTGTGGTAAGTTAAAGCTTGAGCTTCATTTACTTTAAATACAATAAGACATGGTGAGATAATCTTGGTAAATATTCACTTGATGGTTTCTTTCTTGGTTTGTGCTCTTGAGTCTGCAATAACTCTAACTCTTAAAAATAGTTTTGCACATTTTTAACATCTGAGAAGATGTGGGTTATTTTGTTGTTTCGTTTTGTTTTGTTTTGTTTTTTGTTTTTAATTAAATATAACCCTAATACTTCTAAAAAAAATCCCTGTACTTTCACCCACCTTTATTCTGTAATTGTATTGTCATTATTCTTAAGGTAACATATGAGGTAGATGACAAATAGATTGTGTCTGGGAGCACCACAAAACTTCAGGGTTGTAGACCCTCTAAACACTATGGAACCATAATTATTTTAAAAACTTAAAATAGCTTGCTTGAAAAATATATAGATCAAGATACAGTTGTGTTTAAACAGACTGAAAATAGGGAAAAGGGTAACTTACAATTGTAAATAAGCCACCCTAATTGTTATCACTGGAAATAAGCATTCATCAAGACTCCTAAAGTTCTAGATGCAGTTGAAATCTCAGTAGGTAAAATATCTTTTGTTTAAAATTCCTGTACAATGAATTATACATACATACACATACATATAAATTAATCTGATGCAAGACCTGGAAACATGTTAAGAAAAATGAAAACAATGTGAAGACGTTATGAATCAACTCAGCTATTTTAAGCTACAGTGCCACGTCTGATATGAAAGCAGATAACTCCTTGCATGTCTCATGTCATTTCATGGCTTCTCAATTGTCTTTTCAGTCTTTCACACTGATTTTCTTACCACAGGTACCTGATGCTCCACCAGCCTATGACAAAATTGCTGCAGAGCAGTCACCACCTCCTTATTCACCATGATAGCAATAAGTCTTAAACTCTGAGCACATCCATTCAATTTCTTCATGCTCCCTCTTTATTTCCTGTACATTCTTAACTTTCTGAAGGCTAAAACTGCAATAAAAAATTAACTAACATGCTTTCATAAGCAATTGCTGAAAATTACTCTTGCTCAATTTAAAGTAGTTCATGAAACACTATAATAAAGCTGACTGTGCTTCTGTTTCATGTTTTCCATTTATTGTGTTCAGATTAAGACATTTTGTTCGGGTTTTGGCTTCTTGCATGCTTCACAGAAGTACCAGTATTAAGAACACACCACTGGGTACCAACTGGATTGACAAGTGTAGGCAGCTGCACATTCATCTTCCACATTTTCTCTCCCTTTATTAAAAAAAAAAAAAAGAGAGAGAGAGAAACAATCTATTCCATAGAAGGCAATGTACAAGAATCTGTAAGAATAATGTGGGCGGAAATATTTGATTACGTGTGCTGATATGAAAAATAACCATTTTCCCTGCCACCCTAAAAATTAATCTGCAAAAGGAGGCTGTATTTTACAGCAGTCATATACCTCACAGCACTTGTTTATGTATCTGTAATTAACCAATTCCTCATGAAATATCAAAGTTTTATCCACGTAACTTAAGAATTTCTGCTTATAATCCATATTCTTTCATACTTGTCAGTGCATATAACAGCAATCACATTTCGTGACCTACTGGTAAGAAAGCAGAGCAGTCACAGAAAACAAAGAATGGCAATACATCTAAATTAAGGTATACTCATTAGGCAGATACTTGTTCAAAGGAAATAAATATCTGTGAATTCTGTGAAAGTTTAAAGTTATTTATTTTTATAATGATTTGATATATGTATTTAGAAACGTAGAGAAGTACTTAAACTCAAAATGTTGTCTTAAAGTTGTCATTTTCAGCACACTCCCTGGGCATCTTGGTCTAGTATTAAATGGGGAGGTTGGTGGCCCTGCATGAAGCGGGGGGTTGGAGATTCATGATCCTTGAGGTCTCTTCCAACCCTGGCCATTCTGTGATTCTGTGCAGGAAAAAATTCTGTGGACTTGCTTAGTGACAGGAAGAAGAATGCACAGGAAAACATGCCAAAAGCCAGCTTGGAGCTGGTAGGCACCAGATGTAGAACAGAATGTGCTCCATACATTTTTTGCAGAATTGGCAAGCTTGAAGCTGATGGTTTTTTGCGGCTCTGTAATCTGCTGTTTCCTATCCCAGGGTTTGTCCTATCAAACACAGCACTAGAAAGTCCAATCTGAGAGAAGGTTTGGATAAACAGAATGAACTGCTTCTCCAAAGGCACAACTATAGTTCTTCAGTAAATTTTGTCCCTGTGTGCTTCACTCTTGGGCCAATGCAAAAGAAGTTGCAAAAGATGCTGGGGCAGCAGTTTCCCTGCTGAATATGAGATTACGAGGGACAGGCGAGGCTGAACTCTCTAAAATTCCCTCATCAAAAGGCAGATACAGATTACTGACCCCTGTTTCACCAGAGAAAAAGAGCAGAACACAGAATCCAACTCAGTTGCACATCTTAAACATCTAAGCTACAAAATATAGTTACTGCCTTCTCCAGTTCCTCCACAGAATTCTTGCTTGCTGACAGTGCTGCACTCCACTCTTGCTGGGCTCACAGAACCCAAGCACTGCAGCTGTGCTTGAGCAGCAGATGTCCTTCCACATTTCCAAACCATTTTATTGCTATGGTACTGATCACATGACTGAACCACATGCTGCTTTTGCACTTTCCCTGTGTGAGCAAAGTACAGATCAGAACAGGACCAAAAGTGATGGTCTAATATAAATAATTTAGTCTTTCACTACTGGTTTTGTCGGGACTGTTCAGCTCAGCTCACTCTCATTTCTGGATGGAAGGAACAGACTCCTGTGCTGCGCATTGTGCTCACAGCGTTCTCTGCTTATACAGAAAACCAGCCTTCCTCCTCCTGGTTCATATCTGGATTATCCTTGTTATCATTATCTTCATTCTTGCAGCTATTTGGGAAAAGAACAGACTCATATTTTCTGGAGAGTTTTTTCTAAGAAAAAGGTTTAATCTTGCAACATCTGCCAGTTCGCCTTTTATCAATTAGAGGCAATTGGTAATTGGCAATTACCTTGTTAGAGGCAATTTATTTCTTTTTCTGTGCCATCACTTATGCCCCAAGTAACTCTTTACTGACACTCAGGAGAAAAACAGCCCCCATTTTATATACAGCATCTCAGTCAGTTTTCAGTCCATCTCACTCTCTTCTTGTCCAGCCCCATCTTCTCTACGACGGTGTTATGGAGGACAGTGTCAAAGGCCTCACTCAAGTCCAGGCTAACACTGCTCAGTGCTGGATCTACTGTCTGCAGTTATTTGCAGTAGGAACTTTAGGCTTGTTGTTTGTCTGTTAACTGTGCTTTCAAAACTTTTGAATCTCTTCAGAATATTTGTCAAAACAACAGAATCATATGGCATGTGTGAATACTTCTGAATATTAACCTCCCGGAAAGACATCCTAGCAAAGGCTGGAAGATGCCCCATTTGTGAATTGCAGTATGTTACTCCTACATCAGCATCTCTGGAAACTACTTCCTGAACATTTCTAGAGTCAACACAGATTTAAGGCTGTGGTTCTTACAACCTTGGTACACCCCTGCATATGCTGCCCATGCACTCTACACATACAGTGTTTGGCCTCACCAATAGGGAGGATCACGACAATGTCTCATGGTCAAATCCTTGTCTAAAACGTGAGTTTTTTTAGCAGTCATTCATATACCTCTCTCATCATTTCTGTAGATGAAAGAATAGATTCCGTTTTTATGCCCACAGTTATTTCTGCTCCGCTTCTCCAGATTACTGCTCACCTTTTTTCCTTGACCCTGATTTCCTGGCTGAGTTCTCCCACCTCTCCTGGAAATTAACTTTTCTTCTTTCCACCACTGTTCCCTATTGGTCACCACAGTGAAGATGCTAAAACCAACACTAGCAGGGACTGTAGAGAGAGGAGTGACGGACTTGCACTGGTTTCAGTAATCTCCTTTAAATGTCATTCCTTTAAAATCATGCAATTTTTGAGTAGGAGGAGATGTATCCTTTTTTGGCAGTGAAATGTTTGGTTTGCAGTGGATAATCCTGCGAAAAGATCTGTACAGAACAGAGTCACAGTGCTCCTTTGTCTTTAGAGCTGTGAATTCTGTTCCCACGTCTCAAGGATATAGTAAAATTGAAAATGGCAGTAACAGATCACTCCCATGAAGGAAATAACTGAACTGACCATGTCTCTTCATTCGAAAAAAGAGACAACCAACATGGCAAAGGTCCACATCAACTGCATGGAGAAATGCATACAGAGTCCCACTACTAATACTCTGAGTGTGAAATAAGCAGTTACCATGTTCAGAAAAAAAGTGATAGTATGCATATTATGTGAAAAACTCTTCATGGCAGGATGCTGGGGATGGTAACACTTCACAGGCATTTAAGAGGTTGATCAATTTCATCATCAAAAGCACTTTAACGTCTCTTAAATAAATACAAAATAACAAAAAATACAAAACCCTAAGACAAAATGAACAAAAACCATCCACAACCAAAACAAGCAATTACAACAATAATAAATTTGTTGAAATGCTGGTTCAGATTACTGGAGACTATTGGAGTGTTCAGAAATGTGTCAGCAGCTATTTTCCTTCTTACACAGATTTGAATCACTGCTGTGTACTGCTCCAAGGCACGATACTAAAAAAGATGGACCTTTACTCGATCCAGCACTTACTATTTGGATCCAGCACTCAGTGGGAGTCACAAAACCACCTGTTTGCTTAGGGTGATTAGCTGCTATGTTTCAGTAGAGAACAACAAAATAAAAGACCATTCAGTTCATCTTGCTAAGCTATCAACCTGACCTATGAAGTTCCATCACTAAACCATGTCCCCAGACCCACACCCACACGCCTCTTAAACACCTCCAGGGACGGCAACTTCACCACTTCCCTGGGTGGCCACTTCCAATGCCTTGCCAGCCTTTCTGTGAAGAAACTCTTCCTGGTGCTCCATCTAAGCTTTCTCCTGGAGGCTACTTCCTTGCATCCTGTAACACGTAGCCTGAGGAGAGATCGACACCCTCCTCACTGCAGCCTCCTTTCAGGTAGCTGTAGGGAGTGATGAGATGGTTTAAATGTGAGGCATTTTACAAGCTCTGAGCATGTTCTCTTCACAGATCGATTTGTACATAGCTTATTAGGTCACATATATGTGATCACATTTCTTTAAAACTTCATTTAAAAGGGCTTTTACATTTCTCATCAAATATAATGTTTTTTTCTTCAGTTTTTGTGTATTATTTGTGTAAATATAAAATATTTGGTACAAAGAAGAAGTGGGACGTTCCAAACTTCTGATGGAAATTCACTTTTCTTTGAAAGAAAGCTTTCCTCTGATCAATATATCAGGGAAAGGTGATGGGAAGATGAATTCCATTTACAAAAATGAGCAAAAAATTTTTTTCTACAAAATAAAGTCATTCAAAGTTATTGCATAATAGTATCCAGCCTTTCTCCAATAGTATTTGGGATCTGAATATGTGTGCAGTAGATCATAAAAGTTCATTAGAATTCCAAACAGACTGAAGCAAACTTTGCACAGGGTTATACTTGTCAAATTAGAAAGTATTTATAAAAAAATCATAAAAAAATCTAACAAATCATTTAGGTAAATAACTTGACTTCTGAGTTCCGCAGTAAAGCTTTTTCTAATTCGCTCTTCATTAGAATGAATAATATTGTGTATCCTTCTACATTATTGGCAAACAAAAACGTCAGGCAAGATCTGTTTCTCCTACCAACTACTCTTTTGTGTTCTAAGTAACACAGATACCGATTCTAATGCAAAAATAAGAGGAAAACAAACATTCGAGGAGGAAAGAAAAATCCATGAAGATTGGTCCCTTCCTTCACTGAAATGCCAATAAAATGCGTTGCTGCAATATATACTTTCATAGTACCCAAGGTGCCATCCTCTGCCACTTTCCTCTGTATAAAAAGAAGTCACCTATCACA